GCAGCAAAACTTTTACTACAATAATTTATCATTTTACCCCCAATTAAAAATCAAATTTGTAAAGGAAGTCAAATCCCCTTTCTTTCCAATTGCATTACACAGAAATTGAAAGAAAAAATCTCAAAAATGCCTTTAAATTTGATGCAGTAAGTGTTAAAAAACTTATTACTTTAGACTATTAAATTAAATAAACTAAAAAATTTTAAAAGTAACATTTTAATCAATGTATTGGTGACGTATTGTGTCGGAACTTTTTTTGTAAAATCGTGTGCTGACGTGTCTGACACGTAACATCTCGGATGCTCGTGTCCGTGTTCATGCTTCTTAGGACGCCTTTTACTTCTTTCGGGTAACAGTTATGAAGTTTGGAAGAATCAATTTTTGTAACATGTGTGCACTTTTTCTGTTATTAAAATTTGAAAAATGTATAAGAAAAGTTATTTATTAACTTTTTTGCTCTGTTTATGTATTTGTGCAAGCATTGTGAGAACAAGTGGCACAATCAACAAAAATAGACCTTTGATAAATTTTCAAATGGGTTTTCATGGAACTACTCAGAGTTATCAAATGGGTCCTTGAGAATTGAGAAATGCATGGAGTGTTGTGTTTTCACAAATTTTGCTGTCTTCATACTTCTGTATTCGAGTCCTTGAGGATTCCAAAGGTGCCTTGTTTAAGGTGGATGTTATCTTCTTTTCCTTTACTTTAGGAACATTTGTATCCCTGGTTAACCTTTCTTTTGGTTATGCCGGGATGAGACTGGGTTCTTATCGGGAAGGAAGACTGTTTATTGCAGATTTTATGTGAGTATGAGGGTCTGTATATTACTTGGTTCAGGCATGTGCATAGATCTAGGTGCATGACTTGGTTGTCAAATTTAGGAGCCAAGATTATGGCAAAAAGAATGCTTGACTCTAGATACAGGCACATGGTACAGTGTTCATGAAGTCAGTAAGCTAATACAAGAAATTCTGAAGATGTTCCAGGTAGAGGTCACTATAGGAAAAAATATAAGAGTATGCTTTTTCACAAAATGTCGCACATTATAACTAAAAATGACAGAAAGGAGGCTTGTAATTCTTGAGATATGTATTATATGTCGGAGAGTTTTGTTCATTTCCAAATGGACGGACACGTTTCCTGCCGAACATGGGTCTGAATTGGTAACCAAAGAGTTAATAATTGAAGTTGCTTTATGAATATGCATTTTGCATTTTAGAAGTAAATCAATAAAGCCCAGAACTAAATTACTGTTTTACCTCTAACCCTGTTGATTAAAAAAGGTTAACAAAATAGGTGCTTGGAGTTTTATTCATTAATTGTGGAAGTATTCTAATTGCTGTAACATGAACAGGATTATGTGCCAACCGTTTTTGATAATTTTAGTGCTAATGTGATTGTGGACGGGAGCACTGTTAATCTAGGCCTATGGGATACTGCAGGTAAGTTGTTTTTAGTTGACATGTTTTCTTATTCATCTTTACACCATTGTACAGTAGCTTAGGCACTTGTCTTGTTGAGCAGGTCAGGAGGATTATAATAGATTAAGACCCTTGAGCTATCGTGGGGCTGATGTCTTTATTCTTGCGTTTTCTCTCATTAGCAAGGCCAGCTATGAGAACATCTCCAAAAAGGTAAGAGTGGCTTTACCACTTTCGTATGAATATTGCTGTTTCGTGCGTTCCGCTCCTCTGCAACAAGAAGAGAAAAGGCTCAGATAGCATAATGCTTATGTTTTTTTGGTACGTTTATCTTTTGATGTTCAGTGGATTCCTGAATTGAGGCATTACGCACCTGGAGTTCCAGTAATTCTTGTTGGAACAAAGCTTGGTCAGGATTTCCTCCTTCCCATTCTCTTGTTATGCTGTTATAATAATTTGCTGCTCTGTTCTTTTATATGAGAAATAGTGGTAATCTAAAATATGCAAACAACTAGAAATAGTTCTTAGTTTTCCTTCTTGGAGTTGTAAGTGCATTAGGTACTAAGTAGTAAGTATCTTCACGACTTTGTCCAATTATTCTTTTCTTTTATGGAATTTCGTCACCTTGAACATCATGTGAACTTGCTATTTATTTTATAAAATTTGCTATAGTTCTCCTTATAATCTGGCATCTTTAATGTAGAAATACAGACCTTATAATTACGTTCAATTTTTTCCTCAGTTGCTATATATTGCACAAATTGTCTGGATAGGTTGTCCCTAGCTTTGGAAGTATTATTATAATTTTTTGCTCATTATTTCCTTTTCTTTTTCCTCCATTCCCCGTCATCCTCATTTGTGTGAGGTTTTTCGGGTCCAGTGCATTTAACTAACTGTGGCTTCGCTTCCATGTAGACCTTCGGGATGATAAACAGTTCTTTTTCGACCACCCTGGAGCTGTGCCAATCACAACTGCTCAGGTATAGGCTACATCTTATTAATTGTCTTTAATCTTAATATGACAAGTTTGCCCTTGCCCGGGTTTTGATTTTAAGTTTCACGCCCTCTAGGCAACTCATTTCTCTTATTTTGCTTGAAGGGTGAGGAGCTTAGGAAGTTGATTGGAGCTGCTGCCTATATTGAATGCAGTGCAAAAACACAGCAGGTTAATTTGGTTTAATGGAACATTTCTTTCGGTCTAAATTGGGAAGTTTCTTCTTTTTCGACATATCTTTTACGGGTTGTTTGACAGTTTTTAATAGAAAATTTAGCAGATTTTGATAAAAGTTG